ATTATCAAAGTAACCCCAACTTATTAAAATACCAAAACTTAGAACAAAACTTATAAAATGGAGTAGGAAATCCCTATCTCGAAGAAAACAACCCAAATGGAGAAGACAGAGATGAATACCCAAATACCAATGTGCTCCAAATCGCCAATTGTTCAGATTAAATGAAAGCCCTCGACTCCCTCTATCTTTTTAATAAAGCAACTAGGGTAGAAACACACTCTAAACAGATCAAACCTAAGAGAGAAGGTGAGTAGTGAGAGAGAGAAGTCGGACCTTAGGGTTTGGAATCTAAAAAGATGATAAAAACTGATTAAAAACCCGCTGCTGCGTATATAAACTGGACAGGCTCGCTCGAGCGAAGACTTGGTCGCTCGAGCGACCAGACACAGAGAAGCTACGCTCGAGCCAAGGAAGCCTTGCTCGAGCCAACAACCCAAAAGCTCGCTCGAGCGAAAGAGAACTCGATCGAGCGAAGAACTCAAACTCACAGGTCTGTAACCAGACACACGCTCGAGCGAAGGAACTATCGCTCGAGCGAAGAACGGACTAACTCGCTCGAGCGAAGAAAATCTCGCTCGAGCCAAGAATGCAAAGCTACAGGTCCATACTGGACGCCACCTCTCGCTCGAGCGACAAACTCCTCGCTCGAGCGAAGAACCAAAAACCTGGACAGCAACACTTGGTTTCTAAACCCAACCAACCTGAAACAAACCTGCCCAACACATCCTATAATTCCAAATGAGAAAAATAAGGGACAACAACAACCATTACACAATGACAGAATCTACGGAACCTAAGTCCGGATACAATTAACAAATGGGAAAAGACCGGGGTCGCTATAAAGAATTACTTTTCAACACCAAGTTTTCCCCAAAGTAATGGGCAAGCAGAAACATCCAACAAAGTAATTTTAGATAGAATAAAGAAGAGGCTGCAGGCAGCAAAAGGAAAGTGGGTAGACGAATTGCCCAACGTGCTTTGGGCATATCGGACTACGCCGAGAAGATCAACAGGGGAATCCCCCTTTGCCATGGCTTATGGCACAGAAGCAATCATTCCACTGGAAATCGGCATCCCAGCGATCTGAACCCAGGGAGTTGAGAACGGGACAAATGACATACTCTTAGCCCGAGATCTGGATCTTTTGGAAGAACGAAGAGAGAAAGCTGCAATTCATCTCGCAGTATACCAGCAACAACTTGGCAGAGCTTACAATAAGAAGGTCAATCCAAGAGATTTTCAAGTCGGCAACCTAGTCCTGAGAAAAGTCGTCGGCAACAAGAAGGATCCCAGAGAGGGCAAGCTTGGCCCAAACTGGGAAGGACCCTACAGAATTACTTCGGTATTAGGCAATGGAGCTTATCGGCTTGAAGATAACGAGGGCAAAGCACTGCCAAGACCTTGGAACACTTGTAATTTAAAATTCTTCTATCATTAGATGTGCATTATTTTTGGTCGATGTCATCAACAAAATCTTTTCCCTTTTCTTTAAACACATATGATTGATAAAGTTACATATTGGTGTTTTTGGAGAAATGAATAATAAGAACTCAAGTAGAACTTAGGTTCACATTGGGGGCAGAGAGAAGACAGAGACACTTAATTCACTTGTTGAAATTTGTAGCAATTTACAAGTTGAAGGTTAAGCCGACATGTGAGCATCTGTTGAAATTTGCAGCAATTTATAGGTTGAGGTAAAAGCTAAGTATATTATTTAAACACTTGTTGAAATTTGTAACAATTTACAAAATAATGTTAAGCCGACATGTGATCATCTGACAAAACTTACAGCAATTTACAGGTTGAAGTACAAGCTAAGTATATTGTTCAAACACATGTTGAAATTTGTAGCAATTTACAAATAGACCATTATTTAACACTTGTTATAACTTGAGAACAGTTTACAGTATATGTTAACACTTGTTGAAATTTGTAGCAATTTACAAGATAAATGTTAAGCCGACATGTGAGCATCTGTTGAAATTTGCAGCAATTTATAGGTTGAGGTAAAAGCTAAGTATATTATTTAAACACTTGTTGAAATTTGTAACAATTTACAAGTTAAAGTTAAGCTGAGATGGTTCCTTATCTTCACTTGTTGAAATTTGTAGCAATTTACAAGATAAATGTTAAGCCGACATGTGAGCATCTGTTGAAATTTGCAGCAATTTATAGGTTGAGGTAAAAGCTAAGTATATTATTTAAACACTTGTTGAAATTTGTAACAATTTACAAGTTAAAGTTAAGCTGAGATGGTTCCTTATCTTCACTTGTTGAAATTTGTAGCAATTTACAAGTCGAAGTAAAGCCGAAGTTTCGTAAAAGCCAAAAGGATACGGAAAGGATACACCTTGCACGAACTCGAGTGCCACGTACAGAAGACATGACCCGAGGTCAAAATGGAGGCCGGTTGAGCGTTGGAAATGCACTGTTTTGCACTGTTTTGAGCACTAAAGGCCCTGGACCCCACACATAGCTCAAAAAAATGGTGTAGGAGGCTCCAAAATCACTGTAGGAGACCACCGGATGTCCACCGGCCATCAAAATGCATCATCGGCCGTCTTGTTGATCCCTGTTACAGTATATGTTAATCCTTGTTGAAATTTGTAGCAATTTACAAGTAGGCTAGACCGAGATCACCGTTTAAACACTTGTTGAAAGTTGAGAAAAAAGTTTGCAAAGTTAACATTGAGTAGTATATGTTTCACACTTGTTAGAATTTATGAAAAGTTTGCAGGTCAGTATCTTGCCGAAGTAAAAGTTTTATAACTATTATACCCGAGGTATGTAACCCCGAGAAGATTGCACAAAGGAGGCAAAGTATGAAAGGCATACAAAAAATTCTAAGTATAGAATCAAACAGAGGCAGTCAAAGAAAAGGCAAAAAAGAATGCAGTCATTCAAACAAAGATAGTTATGTTAAAATATCCAACACAAACAGAAGGCACATCGGCCGTACAGAAAAGTTTCTACTGTCCAGGAAACAAAAAAGTACAAAAAACAAGAAAAGAGAGACATCCAAGTTATGATTCTTCTACTTCAGGCGCAATTTGAGACTGGACCTCGGCCGATTCTTGGAGAACTACCTCGGCTGATTCCTGGAGAGCTATTTCGGCAGTCTTTTCCACCTCGATTTCGGCGTCAATCTGCGCAAGGGTTTCATCAAGACTTTTTTCGGCTGGAGGAACGTCAGATGAGGCCTGTTCAGGACTAGTTTCCTTGGCAACTGCATCACCATCATCGTCTTGAGTCAGGTCCAAGACCTGCTCATTCAGAGAAGGAGACTTAGACCCAACAACCTCCTTGGATTTCCTTACTAAAGCCTCATCCTCACCTTCCTCCTCATCTTCAGACTCAGATTCAAATTCTTCTTCAGTTTGACTTGGAGGTGGAGGAGGAGGAGGGAATGGGAGAGGAATAGCTTCGGCCTTGCGCAGAGGTGAATCTTCAGGAATATTGAGCTTTTTGGCCAGGGACATCCAACCAAGGGAAAAGCCCCTGTTGCATGCCTGCCTAACTTGTAATTTGTATTCCTCTGTAACATCGGCCATTCCTTGGGCATAGGCTTTTTCGTCGGTCTCTTTGATTTCAGCGTCTTTAGTGGCCAAGGCCTCCTGAAGTTCCTTTTCGGCTTGGGTCTTTTTGTCCTCGGCTTCTCTCTTCTCGGCCTTGGCAACCTTCTTGATGGCCTCAGCAGATTCGGCCTTTTCTTCGGCTAGGGTTTGGGCTTTGGTGGCAACCTCAGCCTGGTCTTCCAGTTTTTTCATTTTTGATTAAAGAGTTTTGTTCTCCTTCTTAAAGGCAGAAACCTCCCTCTTCATGTCGGCCAACTTTGCCTTGTTTTCAAAAGCTTGCATAGAGAGAGAGTGGGCATGTTGAATGGCCTAAAAGAGCACAGGGCAAAAATTATTACAAAATTTTACAAAGTAAAAGAGAAGACAAGTTTCCATGTAAAGACACTTACTTGGACAAAACGTTGGAGCATAAAGGCATAGTTCTCGTACTCACTCATCTTGGCATTCCGCTCAAGATCACTTGGGAAAAGTAGGGCGGTACTAAGTGCTACGCCGACATTAATGTCGTCGGCACTATCGCTGGCAAGAACAGGCTTATCTTCTAAAGTAATTTCAGGCGTCCAGGGGACTTTTGGTATTCTGGACCCCGAGATCGTCGCAGACGATGACCTCGGTTTCTTTGATTGTGCGGACTCTGATGGCTGTGTCTCAGCAGACCTTTTTTTGGGAACGGAAGTCGTCTTCTCACTCCCTGCCAATTGTGAAATTGTCAGGGTATCCTCAACCTCAACTTCAGTGGCTTTAGCCTTTGGATGGGCTTTCTTGGTTCGTTTCGGCTTTGGTGGGGGCATGGTTTGCGTCGGCGGAGCATCGACGTCAACAGGGAGATCGGCAAGGAGGTCTTGAGCAACGGGCTTTGGGCGACCCATCTCAGTAGTTTTGACAAGTCTTCGCCGACGTTTTCGTTCTTGTATTGGGACCAAGTATGGGGCCAAAGTAGATGGTTGATTGGTTGGGTCAGATGTTGACTCTTGATCTGTTCGTGATATAGAGGCGGTTTGAGTTGTGGCAGTAAGAGGAGAAAGGCTTTTCTTCTTTCTTTTGGGGACGTCAGGCAAAATCGATTTGTATGTAGGAATAAAGTTGAGAAGAAGAGGTGCTTTTCTTTTGTGAACTGGCAAGTCTAGGAGTTTTTTCAGGTCCTTACTAGGAACGTAAGATTGGCGAAAGTTTTTCGCTGGCTTGCGAACGTCTGCAAGAAGAAACAGACATTAGAAACAGATAAAATATTGAAGACTTGAACAGAAACAACTAAGTATTGACACTGGGCTCTTACCCTTGCCCTCTTTAACTGATCGGGGAAGAGGGTAGAGATGGGCGTCATCGTCTGTGCCAAACTCCCAATTTCCCGAAGCAATAACATAATCATCTCCAGCCCCCTTGTTGGAGTCTGGAAGGTCAGCTACGATTTTGAATTCAGTGGACCTCGGCTTGAGGTAATAGACGTAACCTTTTTCCTTCAAGTAAAGGGCGCACATGGTATAACAGTATTGGATGTCGGCAAGGGTAATCCTAACGTTCTCCTGCCTAGCTAAGGCGATAATACCAAAAATCACTCGATAAGAATTGATTGCTAGTTGCATGGGGTTCAACTTATAATAATGAAGGATCTCGCGAAAAAGAATGTTGAGTGGGAGCCGGAGTCCGCACTCAGTAAAAGCTACAATGGGAAGGGCATGGCGTTTTTTGTAGGCATGATGGAGTCATCATCCCCAGCAAGTCTCAGATGGACATCGGCAGGGATGGAGAACTCCTACCTAAAGTACTCAAGTTTGGTCGGGGTATCTACCCTGTGCCTCCACATACCCATAACGTCGGCCTAAAATCAAAGGGCTAGGTTTCAAAAAGAAGATGCTCTTAAGGGGTTATCGGGACCTCGGCGAAACCCTAGGTATATGCTGGTAAGGATTGTTTCAGTTTTTTCCTAAGAATTGATAGGTTCTATAGACAAATCCCAAACCTAAATCTATAAAGGCAAAGATTGAAAGCAAAAATTGAAGGCAGAGATTTGGAAAACAACACAGGAAACAAGAAACCAGAACACAGTTTCAGAATGAAGAATAGAAGTGGGGTTCTCAAAAGCATAAAGAAAACAAGAACTACAGGGCCAAGAACAGTGGCAAAAATGCAAGAAGTAGTGAACAATAAATATGATTCACGGAATTAACAGTTTAAACAGAACAGTAATGGCAGCAAGAAGATAGAAGAACATCAGTGAACTGAATACATAAAGAATAGTGGCTTACCAGAGAAATTGAAGCCAGAATAAAGTTTGCCGAAGACAGACGACGGTTACAGAAGTGACAGAGTAGCGAGAGCCTCACCAGAGAAACAAATGAAGTTGCAGAGCCTGGAGCTTGAACAATGGCGGATTCGAGAGACAAAGCTTAGAGAGAGAAAAAGCAAGTGAATCAAAGCGCAAAGTGAAGAAACGAAAGAAAGGGGGAAAGATTTTGTCAAAAAATGAAAACGGCAGCAAAAGCAATCAATACGTCTAAAAGAGCGCATACGTTAGACGGCGCATGTGAAAAAGAGATGACTTATGGGCGCGTCACAGGCACGAGCCAGTAAGAAAGAAACGCGTGTCTAAAACGGTTGAATTGAAGTGTATGACAACTCATACGCGTAAAAAGTTCCTTAAAAATCTTTGATTTTTTAGGGAAAGCATGTCGGCCAGAAATGAATGATCTCGGCTGTCAAATCTTAAGGGATGCCAAATTTCCTACCAAATAAATGACCAAATGTTTCACATGGGTGTGGGGCTACCAAACAAATGACTAAATGTCTCACATAAGTGTGACCTATGTGAGACATTTAGTCATTTGTTTGGTAGCCCCACACCCATGTGAAACATTTGGTCATTTATTTGGTAGGAAATTTGGCATCCCTAACATTACCCTCTTAATAATGGCATAAAGAGCCTAGGATTTTGGTTTCAGCAGCTTTTGTATTGGAAAAACTATGGATTGTTTGAAGTCCCATGTCATACTCAGCTCTTAATGGAAATAGAGTCGTATCAGCCCGTAAAAGATCTTAGACGAAGATATATATACTTCGTGCATAGGCTCTTTTATCTATACTTTCTAGAGGTGCAAAAGAGGATATGATTACATGGTCTTCAGATTGCTCGAGGAAGCTCTAGTTTATCTCATCTTAATTTTTTTTTTTTTTTTTTTGGTTTTGCAGATGATATCTTGTTTTTTGGGAGGGGTACTATGGAGGAAGGACGTAATTTCAAAAAAAAATTAAATAAAAAAAAAAGTTCATCTATGTATGAACAAGCTTCTAATCAACTTCTCAATTACCTAATATAAAAAAAAAAGCTTCTAATCAACTGATTAATTACAAGAAATCAGTTCTCTTTCTGTTAGTTCGAAGACTGATGTTGATTTGAGGAATCACTTGAAGTAGCCTTTTGGAGATCCAAGGGTGCAATGTTACTATGGTAGGAAGAGATGGAAAGAGGGTTTTAGATCAAATCCCGAAATGATTTTTACAAGGGTGAAAAGAAAATCAATATGAAAACTTGGTAAGGAGGTGTTGATTAAAGTTGTTGCACATGCCATTTCAATCTTCTCTATGAACTGTTTTATATTGCCAATGACTTTGTGCAATGCCAGTGACTTTGTGCAATGGTCTTATAACTCCTTTGTGGCCAGGTTTTGGTCGGGGCAAGGTCAGAATAAAGAAAAGAAAAGAAAAAAAAAAAACTATTTGATTTTCAATTTTGAAAAATAATTTTTAAGTTTTTAATTCATATTTTTATTTATTTATTTTTTAATGTTTAGATGCATCTAATAGATGTATGAAAAATGATTCATCCTCCAAATTAAGCCCTTCCAATTCCACTCCCAATGACGACACCCATGCTCTCTCTCCTTTCCACCTTGGTCGTCGTCGGAGATAAGACCCACCAGAGAGTGGCGTCAGTCTGTCTTCTTCTCTCAGACTTTGGCCTCCTCTTCTCCATCTCCACCAGCTCCGGCTAATCCACCAAATTAGTTCCATTTTTTTCTTTTTCTTTTCTTCGCTGGTGGGTTGCTACGATAGAGGGTCACCAGAGGTGGTGAGTTGGCTGCGTCCTCCTCCACTCCTCTCTACTTTGCCTGTGATGACCCCGCCACGTATAATATTTTATATTTGGTTAATTAAGGAGATTTGGGATTTTAATTAGTTGTTATCCTAATTTAATTTGGGATTTATAAGAATTGTGGAATCTGATTTGTATATAATTCTATTAAAGATTTATTTTGCAATTGCAAATTAAGGGTCCAAATGGCTTAGAGACGTGAAATTAAGAAGTTGAATCAATTTAATTTTTAATTACGGACCCATTTGAGAGTTTAATTAAATATTCGATTCAGTTTAGTAAAATTGAGATTCGATTAATTAGGTCTGAATTGGAGGTGATTAAGTTAATTAAATTATGAGGATTGAGAATTGTGATTATTACGAATTAAATTTATTTATGGGGTGTCCAATTTGAATATGTAATTTATTGACAGAAATTAGGAGTCTGATTAGAAATTGAAGGGCTAAATGGTTTGCGAAATCAAAATTGATGATGATAATAAGTTCAATTCAATAATTGGAGCCTTTGGAAGTTTGACTAAAAAAAAATCTGATTCAGAATGATAAAAATTAAATATAATTAATTGGGCCTTAGTTGAAGTCATTTAGACTAATTGAGCTATGTAGAAATTTATCGATCATGATTAGATATGGTTAATTGTGGTTTAATTAAGTTTATGTGTAATGATGTGCCAAACCTATCCTAATCAATTAAATAAGATTAAAAAACAAAACAAAATAAAAATGGAGATGAAATGAAGTTAGGGAGAGTTCTGGAGCCATTCTTTGGCTGGAGGAATAATAATAATAATAATAATAAAAGGAAATGGAATCAAAAGGAGTGCAAGTGTGCTAACCCTCTTGGCTTCAATAATAATAATAATAGGGTATGGAATCAAAAAGGAGGGCAAGTGTGCTAACCCTCTAGGGATTAACTGAAACAATTAAAAAGTGTTTTACAACTCTCTCTCTCTCTCTCTCTAAATGAGAGCATCTCTCTCTAGCCTCTTTCTTTAGGTTTTTTCACAGTTAGCGCCGTTTGGGAGCCGGAGGGGGCTCCGGCCTCCGGCCACCCCTCTCTTCTCTCTCCCATTTCTTTCTTTCCATCTTTACTGCTTAATAAACCTTGGAAGTCCTCTATTCCTCTTTGTGAGGCGTCTCTTCCCCTTGGTGGAAGCTTTGCTAGGTTGCGCCTCCTCCCACCGGTGTCAGATCTGCCTTGGTCTTCTGCTCCGTTGCTCGCTGTCACTGTCTTCCCCTGCCCTTAACCAGATCTGTCTTGGATCTGTTTGCCTCCATTGTTCACAAATCAGATCTGGTTGCCTCCGGGTATGAGGTGTATTTTCCAGTTTTTTGTTTTCTTGCTTGGGTGTGTTTGTATAGAATCTATCGGAGCTTTTAGGTGGCTTAGTCACTCTGTGGTTACAATCTATGACCTATCTTAGACACGCTCTACAGTTGATTTTATTCAACCTCTGCTTTGCAGTACGAGCGCGAGCACTTGTTGTGCGTTTGAGATTCTCATAGTTTTTATACCCGTGTGCTTGTTTGATCTGATTTTTCTTAGCTTAGTGTAAGCCTTTTGTTGGATGGATTCCTGTGTAAATGCCGTTTGGCTTCAGTAATGAAATTTCTTCCTGATCAAAAAAAAAAAAAGTGTGCTAACCCTCTTGACTTCAAAAGTTTTGCTAAGGAAAACTGGTGGAAAGAGAAAGGCAGAGAGAGAGCACCGAGAGGGAGAGAAAAATAGAGAGAATGCAGAGAGGGAGAGATGGCTCAATTTCTTTGAAGAAGAGAA